GTGGCCAATTTGAGCGATTTTATCCTTAAAGTGCTGGGCAAAGTCATCACAGTGAGCTATGGATGGTACAATTGGATCCTTTTCGGGATCTGATCGTAAAAAGCCCTGTACCACTTGAAAAAGCTCAGCTGGACAGCACTGTGAGGATGCAATGGAAGCAGAGAAGAATTCCTTCTTTACCACCCTCACCACCAAAGCATAGGCTCAGTAATGAGCTCCAAGATGTGCTGGATCAGATTTGTCTTGGGATTTCCTCCACCTGCGCTCTAGTCGGCTCCTTGCCTGTTTCATCACCTGCAGCTCAGGTGTGTACCATGGTGCCGAGTAGGCTCTGCAAGTGGGAGGTGATGCTTAGGAGCAATCGTGTTGATTGCCCTGGTAATTTCCCCATTCCAGGTATCGACAGGAGTGCCAGCTTATCAGCCAGGAAATCCCCCAGCATCCACAGGAATCCATCAGGATCCATAAGTCTCCAAGGGTGGACCATCTTAATAGGGTCCTCACTCTCACAGAGGGAGAAATTGGCCCTGAGTTCAAACCTCACAAAGAGGTGATCTGACCATGACAAAGGGATTAAGGTCAAATCCCTCACTTCCAGACCACCATCTTCCTGCCTCGTTGAGAAAATCAGGTCTATCTAGAGTGTAGCCTTTTCCATGGGTTGGGCCAGTGACATGTTGAGACAGCCCCACTGTTGTCATGGTCAGAACGGCCTTGGCATGGAAATTGAAGTCCCCCAGGACCACATTTCAAAGAGCAAAGTGAGATGTTTGGCAGCATTCAGTCAGAATCCACCACTGTATTCAGCTTTAAGAATGGAAAAGATTGCTTCACTAATTTCAGAATTCCAGTTTTGGAGATCTGACATCATTTGCACAGTGGGAGTGATCCAGGGGCAACGTTCAAAGCTCTTCATGATCCTTTAAGGAGCATCCATGCTAACTTTTTTGTTTGTTTTGATTGCCTAGGTTGGCAGCACCCTACAATATCATCCTTGGCATCAGCTCTGGGTGTCTCTCATGAACAAATCCCAAAAGCTGATAGTCCCATCTCAGCCTCTTTGTCTTAACATACAAACACAAAATAGGGCTGCAGAACACTAAGTCTCCCCCTCCCCGCCACCCACATGCAGTGCCAGAGTTAAGCTGATATGAGACATCCAGTATTGCCTGTGGTACATAAGAGGAGCACATTTTACTGTTTGGAGACGTCAGTTACAAGATCCCTTCCTTTCAAGAGTACCTTTTGCTTGCTTCTCATTCCCACATTAAATAAATCTCATTTCTTGCTTTTATTCATTCCAGTAAGTTTCTCACTGCTCTGCTTTCAGGAAATGGGGACCTTGCAGCTTGGAGGCACCATGTGTTATTTTGGGATAAGCAACACCACACACAAAGAAAGGCAGGGATAGGGGCAGAAGGTGTGTTCTCACATACCACTGAACAATGCTGTGCGGTCACCGCGCAGCATGGTCTCTTCCCTTGTGTCCTGAGTTCAGATGTTCCAGTGGTTTTCATGCATGGTTTTCCATGCTTCCTCACCTTCCCTCCAAATGGTGGCAAGTATCCCATCAGCCCCCATGAATGGTGATCAATCCCAGAGTGCACCTCTCCTGCCTACTCCACCTGCTGCTCCTGCCATTTTTATTCTGGGGTGGATCAGCAAGGCAGTCGTCTGCTGCTAGAGTAGCACTATTGCTCCCAGGTGCTGCAGCCACGTGCTGTGCCCGTGCACAAGCACACCCACCACTTCTCCCTCGCTGCACCTCTGTACATGCCCATCCTCTGTGTGCAGGATTTGCCCATGCAGCCAGGGGAGCCCCCCTGCAGCCAGGCACACGGGAGGCATCATTGTGGGCACCGGCACCAGGGACGGAGGGGGTAGTCCTCCTGGGCGGGCTTTCCTAAGGCTACACATCTGGGTATATGCCCAGGAAACTTTGCTGAAAGGCTGCCAGGATGGGGTGGGGGCAAGCAGAGCTTATGAGCACTCAGAGGATGGGAGACATGGGCTCTTGGTCTGTTAGGGAAGGTCGGCATATTGCTCAGGTGCTCCTCGTGTGCAGGGCAGCCTCTGCATGAGCCCACTGACTCCTGCAGGGCACATGGGTGGTGCCAATTCACAGTGCCATAGCAGCATGGCAGGAGCACCAAGCACAGCTATCTCTCCGATCACTGCTGCTGAAGATGCCATGGTGGAACACCCTGCTACTGAAGAGGTCCCGTTGCTGCAGCTGGGCACTGGAAAGCCACATGCCAGCAAGGGAGATGGCGAGCATGAAGCCTCTGATCAGAGCATGGCTACTGCACCTCAGCAGTTGCTAGGCAGAACAGGGCAGCCAAAAATGGGGTCTGGAGTGCCAGCTGCGGCCACAGCCACTTTTGCTGCCAGACCTGCTCTCAGGGATGTGGAAACTGCACAGGAGTTTCTAACTGGGGTCAAACACGGCAACGAGCCATGGTGAAACATGCAAACCTTACAGTAGACTGTTATTTTTCCATCTGCAAAGCAAATGTGCCACATTTTACCATGGATGCTGAATGGTTTCCAGCATGGCTTGTTGCTATGTATGAAAAGAGTCCAAGACCGGGGTGGGGACAGGCCTTTCAGGAGTGCTGGAAAGGGACTGCTGGAGGAATGGCAACTTGAAGTCACAGTGATCTTTGTTGCTCCAAACCTTATCTCATTTAGACATTTATAAATTGTCTTTGAGAGGGTCTTTACCTCTCTAAATTGCAGGTGGCCTTGAAGACTTTCAGTCTATAGTTCTGATTACAGTGAGATGGCTAGATAAGGTAAACTGAAACATGTTATAGAATTGATTGCCCCCATATATACTTTTTCCCCTTTCTCTTTTCTTCTCTTTTCTTCTTTGTTTTATTCCTCTTTATTTATTTTTTGTGCCAAGGAAGTAATACTTTAACTTGCTGCAACTTAGACTCTTAGGGCATTTTTGATTGCATATTTCAAAAGGACCCTGAAACAGATGATTTCTTGATGATTAATGATGTTTTATCTGAACTCTAACTGTATCTTAACAGCTGTAAAGCTGTCTGATGTTTCTGCTTAAGAATTGTGAACCATGAAAACTGACCTTGACACAACTGAGAATATTAGAGTTGGGGATGTTTCTGTGTTCATTTTGTGGCTTCTAAATTGTGATGAAGGACAATTGTGGTTTTCAAAAAGGTCAGACTTGAGGCTTAGATTTTGGCTGTAACTCAGATTCCTAAGGCATTTCTGTTTATGTACTTGGAAAGGACTTTGAAATGGACACTTTCTTGATGTTCTGTTTGAACATTGATAAGACTCTAACTGTAGCAAAGCTGTCTGATATCTTTATTTAAGAAACTAAGAATTATGGACACTGGAAACTGACCTTGATGCAGCTGAAACTTTGGTGCAATGGGAGAGAACTGTCCCCCTTCCTTCATTGCCATTATCTGTGGGAGTTGCCAGATGTTTGAGCCAGGGAATCACACTCTCATTCTCCTTTTGGTCACTTTTGAACTGATCTATACCTGACTTGTATGAGTGTAAGATCTATAAGAGGGGTGAAAAAAGACAATGGGATAACATACATTCAAAAGGAAATCCATGATCAATTTACTAGGGTTTTTTTTCAAATTTATATAAAAAATACCAACCTCAGAAGATGGAGTGAAACAGTATATAAAAGAAACAAGTCTTGAGAAATTAATCCCAGCAAGAGGAAAATACTTAATTAGCCTGTGTTTTGCCAGGATGTGCTCTGTGTGCAAGCCACTACCGTTTTTCAAAACAACTTCTGATCCACCCAATTAGAGGTTCTGCAGCATGGCACCCAAACCTGAAAAGTTGGGTTGCTTAGCCCCAGTGATCCAGAAACATTCTAGTTAAGGAAGTCATGCTCAAACCTTCGATCTCAGTGATCAGAAGTTGTCTGCATAAACCAGAAGCAGCACACATCCATGTGAATGATGTGTTAGATACCCCAAAGCTTGCTGCAGTGATACACTAAGTAAATCACAGACTATTCACAGACAGGACATAATGCTTGGAAGAGTACACTCACCGACTCTGGGCAGTATTTCATTGTGGGTAACCTGTTTATCTTCCAGATGTTGTTGAACATGCACGGGCTAGAATGGATGATGGAATGTTGTGGTCCATGGGTCTGTAGTCCGTAGTTAGTCCTGGAGGCACCAGATTCCCCAACTCCTACTGCATAACAAGTAATTGAAGGTGATGGTGTTAATTTATTAATTGCAGGTTTTATAGTCCATTCTCTTCAGCATAAATGCTCAGAGTTTATAAACTCTTCAGTATAGGCTCTTTTACTATCTCATACCCCTGCTCAAGTGAAATTGTCTTGTCCAATAGAGAACATTTTATTTATTTATTTATTTATTTATTTATTTATTTATTTATTTATTAAAACATTTCTATGCCGCCCCATTTGCTGAAGCGGCTCACAACATAGAATTAAAATACAAGAAATGACAATATAAAATAAGCCGCCCTCACACGTTCAGGAAACTGTTTTCAGTTCTTGCTGTTAAAACCAAGTATGCGCATCCTCTGAGAGCATAGTCTAAAAGCCTAAAATGTTACCTCAGCATATAATGTTACTAATATAGGTAAATGGCATTTGTAATTGTAAAATCCATACACTGGTTCTATCTTGTAAAAGCTTTCATCCTGAGCAGACTTATCAGCCCTGGACTCTGTGGGAATTTCTTCTGAATAAACATGTTTAGCTCTGGATTGCCAACACAATATGCTCAACTGGTCAGAACTGACAGGAAATGCCAGTCTGGTACAGGGCAGGCCTGAGAACAAGAGAGCACCTTATGATGAAGCCAGCTAAAGTTTTTGCGCATTTCATAAACAAGGAGCACTGCCAAGTCTCTCACCGCACGCTTATAAAACCAAACACAGCCAGCTCTGCTGCGTTGCTGGCTCCCTGAACTGCTAATGGGCTCTTGCTGAAGACCCTTACTTGCAGTCTGAAGAAAGATATGGCACGAAGAGGATTTCTGGTTTTCCTCCTTGTTACCATACTCTTGCTGGATCAGACAACTGGCCAGGGTTCCCATTCCAAAGCCAGGAAACACAGCAAACGGCGGGTAAAAGGTAAGGATAAGCCAAGGGGATGTGCCACCAAGAGGGGAGAAGACTCACAGAATGCTGTCTGAATGATGCTTACTAGAGTGTCGAGTGCTTCTGTGCCAAGCTTGCTTATTATCATTTGGGGCTGTATTTGTTCCTCTGATTTGGATAATTTTATTTATTTATGTATGTATTAATTAAATTCCTAGACCAGCTTTCTTCCAACATGGGACACAAATTGGAAATTGGACTACACGAGAGTTCCCAGGCATTGATCAAGCCCAGACTGGTTTGGCTGATGCAAAGCAGGCATGCTCCAGTCCACCCAGGTTGCTCTGTCATTGCGTGCTCTGGTGGCAGGGACAGGGAAGTCGTGGTCCTCCACATGTTGTCCAACTGCAGCACCCATCATCCCTGAACATTGGGCATGCTGGTTGGCTTGATGGGAGTTGGAATCCAAGAACACTTGGAATGCCACCGATCCCTTTATTTCAGATGCATACCCTGCTTTCCACAAAGTATAGAAGTGGTAAACCTAAAATGCAAAGGCAGATGAACTATCATAAATATAAGAACAGCACAATTACTACGATGGAACCACACAGTAGCACTCTGATGCAACCGCAAATAATCAACAGTAGAACCACACACACCGCTGCATGTTAAAAGCCATTGCTGGCTGGGTTACACTACAGCGAAAGCCTGCATGAAAGGCAAGGTCTAAGGAGACATCAGACAGAGCTACCCAGTGGCTACTGGGCAGCACCAAAATGGCCATAGGATAGATCCTCACCTCTGAGTCTGGAGATGCTGCGTGGATCCCTACCTCACCCCCACCCCACAGCCAGCATGGAAAGAACCACACTGCCTGCCTGCCCATGATTGCAAAAGCTCTCCTGCGGCAGAGAGACCTGCCCTGCTGAGGCACAGCATGCCTTGGTGCCCCCCCCCCCAGTCATCTGCCCAGCTGCTTTGCAGAGCAGAAGGAACGCAGAGGTGACCTCTGCCTCCACACTCCTCCCTCTCCACACAGGATGCCACAATCCACTGCATTTGGGGTGCTTCCAGCATCCTCGCTGGATTGCACCCTGAATGCCAAAACTGTGGGTGCTCATGGAAAGCAAGCCAGGGGGTGGGTGCTGCCGCACTGAATGCTCTTCTGCAAGAGCTCCTGAGGTAGACCTCTGGAGTAGGTGGCCCCCTTGAAGGTGCTCCCTCCATGGTCCCAGAGATCTGGCGGAGACCTAAGGCTCCCCACCCCATGTTAGACCATGCCCTGAGAGTACTGCAGGAAAGGCAACCAATTCCAGAAAAAGTAAAATTGTAAAATTCTCACGCTAACTTTGGGGCATGATAGTCATGTTTATATGATCTGTTCCCATACTCCACCAGTAGCATCCAGAGTGGGGCATTGCTTGCTTATTGCATTCCCATAGTGTCCAGGAGCCGAAACCCTCTGGGTCATGCATAAAATAAAAGGTTTATTCATGAATAGGTGGCCTGGTTAGTTCTCACACCTGTGATGCGTGCTCTGCCCAACCCCTGTGGTCTGTACCAAAGAGCACTGGTTGCATGGGAATCTGGACACTCAGAACTGGGAAGAATTAGCCCCTCTCTAACAGACTGCGATTGAAAGTACCATGTGAATTTCACAGATGGCTACTGGTGCCATCGCCAGCACTCATGGCAGCCCACACCTGCTGCACTGGAGAATGTGCTGTAGTCCCAGATCACATGGGTGGACAGCCACTCTTGTGGTTCACAGCCAGGGAAGGGGGTGAGGGTTAGGGTTCCTTTGCTCATGTTTACTCTGTTTGGGTTTCATTCCATTTGCCGTCTCAAAGCAAATGGACAGAGAGGGCCATATTATTGCTTGGATTTCCAGCTCTGGGTCATGGAAGAGATCCAGCCTCAGAGCTGTGGAGCTGCATTTCCACCCCATTCACAGCCACATGGACAGAACTGCTTTGGTGGCACATCCTAGCTCATAAGCCTGACCTTGGGACAGAGATGAAAAGGGTGTTTGGTGGTGGGGCAGGGTGGGGTGGAAAGGAGGCCAGCTCTGATGGGCTATGAAATGCCCTGGCAGTGCTCTGGCCTCCTTCTCATGAAAGGTTTTCTTCATTTGTCTCCACTGAGCAATCCTGAAAGTTGCTACCTGAAGGCACTGTGGAATCCAGTTCACTCTTTAGCACACAGAGACAGAACTACAAGCCCCAGAATTTCCTGGAATGAGGGACTGAACATGAACCCCATTTGAATCCATGCCAGATGTTCACCCTTGGGCTGCAAACATGTACTGCTGGGAAATCAATGGAACTTACTTTTATTTAGGCAGCTATAGGATGGTACTGGTAGTGTTTCTGCCCTCTAATGCACTCTGTAGCTTAATTTAAATGTTTTAATGTACATAAAATTATTAATAAATACAAATGTTTACTTACTTAAGAGAAAGATGGAGACCTAAGGAGTCAAATAAACAAGCTTTGGCAAGAAGTAAATTCCCTGAAAGAAATGCAAGCACTACAAACAGGTAATGCCATTTACAGATACAACAATGCACTAGTCTTTTGCTGCAGGAAAAAGATATTAGAGATGTGTGTGGAAGGGTGTGCCAATGCACTGCCAAACAAGAGGATTACTTTTTTTAAAGTTCTGTGGGTTTTTGTTTATTTTAAAGGTATAGAAAGACAGGATAGATTTTTTTTTCTATGGTTATGTTGATTACTGGATTTAGTCACAGCCTTATTTAGTCAAAGCTAACAGAACTGAATAAAGTTAAATTGGGTGGAGGAAGTGGCATATTTCTGCCATTCCCATTGGCTGTAGAAAAAATAGAGTATCGGTATGACAGGTCATTTCTCAGTTTGTTTGGGAATTGGGTTGTTTTGCAGTTTTCAGATTCATTTCCATGCTTAGGCTCTGTGATGAGTCAAAAAGAAAATCCACTTGGAGGGAGTGCAGATGGAGGCAAAGCCACAGAGAAAAGGAGGAGGAAGGAGAGGGTGTCTGCCTGAAAGATGCGTGTGTGAAACTCAAGTTAGGAAAAGCCAAGAACAGGAAAGCCCTGAGTATATTATCTGGCAAATGTGAACCAAAGATCTAACCACCAAATTAGATATGAGCGATTAACAACCCCAGAACTGTATGATACAGGCAGAAGTTTTGATTCCTTAACTACAAATGGCACCTTGTGTGGTTATATTAAAGGGAATTTGTAATGTTTATTAATACAATATAGACTGCTTGCTTGTTTGTTTTACCCTATTCCCCCAAATTGATCCAATTCCTAGATTCCACTTGTCTCTGATATTACAGGGTATAGTCAGACTGAAGTACCCAATATGCCCATCACTAAACATTTTCTTTAAAGGCACACAGAGAGCGAGCCATGTGGGGCCCTCAACTAGAGCTAGACTCTGGCAACAGAGAGAGGTGCTAATCCTCTTTCTGGTGCCATTTTTCCACAAAAATTCCCTGCATTTGAATGTGTGTGGGGAGGGAGGGAGTTGGATGATTTTCAAATTGAAAGTAGCATGGTAAGAAAAGTTTTAATCCCTTCCCACCCCCCAAAAAACTGGGGCCACCAACAGCTACTTTTCTTAAGAAGACTGTAGCTGGGAGGGAGGGAGGGAGGGAGGGAGATATCTTAGTGGGTTTATTAAGCAACCCATGATGAGCACCCCAACTGCACTAACAAACCATGGTTTATTAAACATGAACTCCTGCTTTTGCATATGGGCTTTTAACCACAAATAACTAAGAGTTCACAACGCAACCTAGAGCCTCTTCCTGGATTTAAAAAGCCTCTTTATTTATTTACTATATTTGTGTCTCACCTTTCTTCCTCCCAAGGAACTCAAGGCAGCTTACATAATTCTCATCCACCTCCCAATCTTATCCTCACAACAACAACCCTGAGAGGTAGTTTGAGCTGAGTCTGTGAGTGGCCCAAGCTCACCCAGTTGGCGCCACAGCTGACTGGAGACCAGGACTAAGAACTCCAGGACACCCAGTCCTGCACTCTTCACCACTGAACTACACTGGCCCTTCATGCAATTGGACTTCGGATATACTAAGTCCAACCGCTTCCATTAAAATCTCTAGGCCATTCTGGGTGCAATCCTACAGTGCCCCACCATCATCTGGGTGGCCATGGGAGGCTTCACAATCCTTCCTCCAACCTCAGTCAGTGCTCAGACTTGCCCCTGCCCTGCCCCACCTCCTCATAACCAGGGTGGAAAGAACCACGGTGCCTGCATCCCGCTCCCCGGCATCACAACTGGGTTTTCTGGGGTGAAAAGGGGCTTGCCTGGGGATGCGGAGGAGAGGGGACTGGAGATGCAGAATTCCACCAATTCCTATCCATGTCCAGCCTCCTTCCCTCCCTCTCCCCAGCCCTAAATCCAGATGGCTGCACCTGGAGAAAATGCCCAGCACAAGGCAGGGTCTAGGAGTGTGCTTTGTCCCCGGGGCAGGACGCACCTGAGCCCCCAAGGCAGAGGCTTCTGTGCCTCCGCCCAGGGGCAAGTAGTTTGTGCCCCGAAATGCTTGACCTCGCCTGCTGCATGCCGTCCGTCTTTGGTGTTCCTCCCCTCCACATATTCAATGAGAGTTTGATAAGGTGGGGAGGGGATGCACAGTTAATATGGTTCCATTGGTTCTTGGGATAAAATCCAGGAATGTGCAGGATGTTCAGAGAAGATTTCAAACAGCACCTTAGGATTCCTTGTTTATTAAGGACTGGGTTGACCTCATGCACAGCTCACTCAACTTTGGCATTTGTAGGTCTCCGTAATGAAAGGGCCTTCAGATGCCTGCCCTTGGTGCAAAGCCAGGTATACACCTATTTCCTGATAACTTGGCCCACTGTGATGTCAGCACAAACATCCATTTTTCCCTGCCATATGCTTTAAGACCAGTGTGGCGAGGAAGAAGGGGCTCTTATTTAGACATAAGTAGTACAAATAACATTTTTAGTCATTTTTAGCTTGCCACTCCTCTGCCCCTCCTGCACACCTCCCAGACCAAAACAGCTGAAAGAATCACTGGCCAGTGGAACATCTTCAGCAGGATTCACAGCCATTTGCAGCCAGTGGGTACATCTGGCAACTTGAGAAATATTTTCGGTATTCTCACGAACCAGCTGCCATGGTAGGCATGGCCAATCACTTAACACCCATTTCCCAGGAAGTCAGTGAAGCGAGAGAGGCTAGAAGAAAAGTAACGTGCTCAAGAACCAGGGAACAAGGCACAGGTGGGCTCTGAGCTCCTACAGACAAAGGCAAAAGCAAAAAAACCGCCCTCTGAGAAGATGGAAAAGAGGGAGACAACGGGTGAGTGAGCACACGGGCACATCTGTGTGTCCCCACAACACTGTGGGCTCATGCCTCATGCGGTGGTCATGCCCAGAACAGATGAGAAGAGAGAGGAGCTAGGCACAGCCACTGCCTTCTCTTGGTTGCATACCCCAAAGCTGGGGAGACCCTTCCCTATTCTTTTCCAGCCGTGGCTGAAAAGGAGACTGCCATTTACTCTCTTCTTGCTCAGTCAACTCCTTTTCCTCCCGATTAAAAGCAGAAGTGTTTCAAACAAGTGTTCATGTGTCATTAGTTAGGTCCTTAGATCCAAAGAGCAGAGTTGGAGGAAGAATAAAATGTCCCATGCACAACCACAACTACACTCTCTGCTGGGGACTTTTGATGTTTGCTGGGGACTCTTAACTTCTTCTGCCATGTCATGTTTGACCCTCAGTCACATATCAGCAAACAGACTTGACCTGGGCTCACACAGCAGAGCTAGCAAACCATGATTCACACACACACAGTCATTTGCTGTGTTGCCCATCGTGAGTTACCATGTTCAACCCCATGATAAGGCACAATGGTGTGTAGAAGGGCTTTTGCTCAAACTGGAGCTTCTCTGAAGCGGGACCTGGGAAGAGTGCTGAGCAGGGATGCCTCAAGCAGGGGCCCCACAGCCCAGCTGAGCTCTCCCCTACCTTAGAGGCTGACTTTCAGGTAGGGGCAGGAGAATCGGCTGAGCAGAACGGCCGCATTCCAGGCAGCCCTGTGCATCCGAATGGCAAGAACCATTGCCCCCGCCCCACACCTGAGAAGCTTCCTGGGCTGGGCCGCCTGGATGGGCAACAGGTCACGCAGCTGCAGAGCAAATCACTGGCTCTCAGCTCTTGCCTGCATAGCTGGTACTCTGCTTGGAGGAGCTGCCTGGGGACCTGGGCAAAAGGAAGGTGTGCTCCTCCCCTGCCCATGCAGCCTTGCTTGCATGGCAGAGATACTTCAGCAGCTTTGGGGGCCAAACTGGCTTGTCAAGGACAGCTTCACTCCTGCCTGCAGTGCCCCCTGGGAAACTGCTAGGAGGAAGGAGGGGGAAGGAGGTGAAGGACAGAGCAGAGTGACTGGGATTATTCTTACTATGACTACAGCGCATTCATTTCCCACTTTTTTCTGCTTGAAGGAACCCATGGCAGCTTCCATAGCTCCATTTTATCCTCACAACAGCAACCCTGGGAGGTGAGTTAGGCTAAGAATGAGTGACTGGCCCAAAATCACCCCGAGAGCTTCATGGCTGAGCAGGGACAAGTAGTTCCCGCTCCAGTACTCCAAGCACTGGCTTCCTGCTGGGCTCGTCATAGGTAGGAACGTGCAAGGAATCCATTTGGGGTGGGAGTCCTTTGGATCCCCTTGGCTCAGGAGTCCTGAGCCTGCGTTTCTGGCACTCATGCCCTGCGATCCAGGGGTGCCCTCCAGGAACTGCGCCCCTTGCACTGCGCAGACAGTGCTCCTTCCTGGGCCACCACTGGCCGCCCTGGCAGGGACCAAAGTGAATCACCCAGAACAGTGCCTGGGGTGCCTGCCCTTGCCACTCTTCTTATTTGTTTATTTAAAACTTTTCTGTGCCGTTCCTTATGCATGGCATCTTCCACATCCTGCAGCCAAGGGAGGTTGCTGGTTGTGCGACGGGGACTGTGTGGATGTTCAAGGACTTCCTCTTGGCTCAGCTCAGTTTGCAAGGCCAGGCCAAGCACTAGAGTAAGTTCACAGATGCCAGAGGCATGGATTTGGCCGAACCCTTATTTATTTATTTATTTATTTATTTATTTATTTATTTATTTATTTAGAAAATTGGTAAGCTGTCCATCACTGTTGTCTCTGGACGGCTTGCAACATTATTCCAAATCCTAAATAAAATAAATTAACTATTCCACAACTGAGCATAAAACTAACCTATTTAAAATAAATTAAATAAATCTAATACAATTAAAATTACTTTATGTTAAAGTATTGGTCAAATAAAAAGGTCTTCACCTGGTCAAATAAAAAGTATTGGTCAAATAAAAAGCATATAATGACAGTGCCAGGTGGACCTCTCTAGGGAGCGCATTCCATAGCCGAGGTGCCACGGCAGAGAAGGCCCTCTTCCGGGTACTGTGTCTCCGGAACTTTTTCAAAGAGGGTTCCCGGAGGAGGGCCTCTGCTGCCTATCTTAGGGGTGGGAGGGCATATAGGGAAAAAATCATGGGTGCTAGTGGTCCACCATGGTAATTTACCACAATGGGCTGCCATTATGTGAACGCACGCATGGCACTAAACTGCCACAAGCTGCCACTAAACTGCCACAAGCTGTAGGACTCCCACAGAGAGGGGCCAGGTATCAGGGAGGATGGGAGGAAGGAGGAGGCTGGGAACTCCAAGGAAAGGAAGTGGTGGGAAGGAGTTGAGGTGCATGTACACCAATGCTAGGAGCATGGGTAATAAGCAGGAAGAGCTTGAAGCTCTCCTGGGAATAGGAGGGTATGACCTGGTGGGAATTACAGTAACTTGGTGGGATGAAAGGCAAGTCTGGAATGTGAACATAGAAGGGTATCACCTTTTTAGAAAGGACAGGAAGGGAAAGAGAGGTGGGGGCGTGGCTTTATACGTCAGGGAAGGGATAGGATGCAGTGAGATAGAATGCAGCACAGATGGGGATTCGGTAGAGGCAGTCTGGGTGAAACTTAGGGGTTTTGACAGGGAAAGAGACCGGACAGTGGGGGTATGTTATTGCCCTCCAGGTCAACTTGAGACCCTGGATGATGTCCTGACAGGCCAGATTCTAAGGATATCTCGAGGGAGAGACACAGTAATTATGGGAGAGTTCAATCTCCCGGATATTACTTGGGAGACTCACTCGGTGGTGACAGCCAGGTCACATCGCTTCCTAGAAGCTATAGAGGGAGGGTTTTTCACACAGAGGGTCTGAGAGGCGATGAGCGGGGGAAACATCCTTGACTTGGTCTTGACCAATAGGGAGGAGCTGATAGATGAAGTACAGATTAGGGGAGCTCTGGATGCGAGTGATCACTCCATCCTTTGCTTTGAGATCAGGGGCCTGGGGACGTGCAGCAGGTTGAGCACTAGAAGCTGGGACTTCAAGAGGGCCAACTTTAGCCAACTGAAGGCCAGACTGGGGAAAGTCTCCTGGGATAGGTTACTGGAAGGTAAGCGAGTTGAGGAGGGGTGGATAGCACTCAAAAGGGAGGTTTTGGAGGCGCAAGCCTTGACGATACCTCTAGTCAGTAAGGTGGGGAGGCAGAGGAGAGTGCCTCCATGGATGGGAAAGGAGGTGGTTAGAGGGATTAGATGAATGAGGAACCTCCGTAGGAAATGGGTACTGGGGGAAATAGACAAAAGTGTATTCCGGGAGGAGGAGGCCCGTTGCAGAAGGATTCTTCGCAAGGCTAAGGCTGTACGAGCTGAGACTTGCCAAGAATATCAAGAGCAACAAAAAAGGGCTTCTTTCAGCATGGAAATAGGAAGGGGAAGGGGAGACAAGTGGTGGGACCACTAAATAAGGAGGAAGGAGATCCGGTGACTGCTATGAGGGAACAGGCACAGATGCTAAATGACTATTTTGACTCTGACTATTTTGACTCTGAAACAGATATTTTCCCCAAAGCAGGATGGGGGCTATCCGCATAGGAGATTAGATGAGGCTGGGGACTTAGGGGCACAGGTTAGAGTCACCCCCCTTGAAGTTGAGGGGCTCCTCAGGGCATTGGACATTACAAAGGCGCCAGGCCCTGACGGGTTACACCTGAGAGTACTTAGAGAGTTGGCAGGGGTTCTCTCACTCCCGTTGGCCTCCATTTTTGAGACCTCGTGGAGAACGGGTGAAGTTCCAGAGGACTGGAGGGTGGCATCAGTGGTCCCAATTTTCAAAAAATGTAGCAGAAAGGTCATGGGGAATTATAGACCGGTTAGCCTTATGTCCATTGTAGGAAAAACAATGGAAAGGCTCATAATAGAGAGAGATCTAGTGATGCTAGATAGGGAAGGGAGGCTGACAGCCACACAACACGGCTTCCGCAAAAACAGGTCCTGCCAGACAAACCTTGTGGAATTCTATGACAAGGTTTCGAGATGGCTAGATGAAGGGGATGCAGTGGATGTGGTATACCTGGATTTCAGCAAGGCCTTTGACAAAGTGCCCCATGATATCCTGATGGAGAAACTGAGGAGTTTTGGGATACACCAAAGCACTGTACAGTGGATTAGGGCATGGTTGACTGACCGAAAGCAGAAGGTAACCATTAGCGGGGAATCATCAGGATGGCGGCCAGTGACAAGCGAGGTCCCCCAGGGCTCTGTCCTGGGGATGATCCTGTTTAATCTTTTCATTAACAACATGGAAGAAGGGGTGAACAGGCTGCTGATCAAATTCGCAGATGACAATAAAACTGTAGCAGTGGCAACAACTGAGGAGCAGGTACTCCAGATCCAAAAGGATCTGGACAGACTATGGAAGTCGGCAGGAGACAACAGGATGGCGTTCAATGTGGATAAGTGCAAGGTCTTGCACTTGGGGCATAGGAATGGGTGTCATAAGTACAGGTTAGGTGACAAGTGGCTGGAGAGCAGCACTTGTGAAAGGGACCTCGGGGTGCTGGTTGACTGCAGGCTAAACATGAGTCAGCAGTGTGACGCGGTGGTCAAGAGGGCGAACGCCACCCTTGGTTGCATAGCCAGAAGTGTGGCTTCTAGATCAAGAGAGGTATTACTACCACTCTACACGACTCTGGTGCACCCGCAACTGGAGTATTGTGTTCAGTTTTGGGCCCCTCATTACAGAAAGGATATAGCCAGGTTGGAGTCAGTGCAGTGTAGGGCCACAAGGTTGGTGGCTGGTTTGCTGGGGATGGGGTATGAGGTGAGACTGAGGGAACTGGGTCTCTTCAGCCTGGAGAAGAGGAGACTCAGAGGGAACATGTTGGCGACATACAGGTATGTGAGGGGGTGTCACACGGAGGTGGTAGAGACCTGTTCTCCCCTGCAGAGGAAGGCAGGACACGCTCCAATGGAGCAAAGCTCAGGGAGCCAAGGTTCCATTTGGATGCCAGGAAGCACTTCCTGACAGTCAGGACCCTGGGGGTGTGGAATGGGCTTCCACAAGAGGTCGTTGAGGCCCCATCGGTGCTGGTGTTCAAGGATAGGCTGGACGTCCACATGGTGGGCATGTCATGAGCGGAGCCGGCTGGTGCCGGAGGTCAGACTGGATGGCCCGGGAGACCCCTTCTGACTCACTCTGTTTCTATGTTTCTATGTGTTCACACCAACACAGGAGCCAATGCATCTGTCAGAGGTTTTCTGTTTAGTTCTTCCCACGCACCTGTCAAATTAAACATTGTTTTTCTAATAACACTGACACTTCTATTACAACTAACATATTTATGCTGGCATTAAATGTACATGCATAATATTTTGAAACAAGCCGCAATTGCCACAGACATGTCCTTCACCACTCTTAGATGAAGCTAAGCAGGTCAGGGTGGGGTGTAAATATAATAAACAAATAAGCCCACTGATCCTAAACTCTACCAAAGGCAATACCAAATCCAGGGAAATTTTGTGCAATTCTAGCCAGTGATGTAATATTGGACTCCAGATTAATTTGGACGCTTATTCATTTTGCACATCACCTTCCATTCACAGTCTGTCTTCGTGGAATGAAGGTCCATAAGAAATGTTACTTGGCATCTGAGAGTTCCAAACATTTCCATGAAGCCAATGAAGAGTGTATAGCAAAGGGGGGGACTCTTGCTATCCCCAGGGACAGTGATGAAACGAACGCTCTACGAGACTACAGCAAGAAGAGCTTGCCTACCAGTGCCACCGATTTTTGGCTGGGTATCACTGACATGGTGAATGAGGGGAAATTTGTTGATGTCAATGGAATGGTTCTCAGCTACTTCAACTGGGACCGGCTGCAACCCAATGGAGGGAAGCGTGAAAATTGTGTCTTGTTTTCTCAGTCAGCTAATGGAAAGTGGGTGGATGAAGTCTGCCGTACAGTCAAAAGATATATTTGTGAATTCCTGATCCCTTAAATTCATTCATGTAACCTTAGGCATGGTGAGAATACTGAGTTTAAGTGTATACTGATGGATAATCTGTCATTTCAAAACAAAAAAAAGCTACACATTTCTTCTTACACATGTACACTCTTCCTTGAAACAGATATTTTCTCTATTAATCCATTTCCCATTCAGTTACAAGGGATGCTGTGTTCAAAGCAATACCATGTGCCACAGGAAGAGCCACGATCTGCTCTGAGCAATGCTGGCGTTGTTGATGGCAATGATAAAACAGCTGGTATAGACTATATTGTGGCATTTGTTCTAGAGCCATTCTTTAAATTTAGTCAGTATCCCAGAATGCTCAGCATTCATTACGGACTAGTCCCATGGCAGAATTTATGCTGTGCTGCAGAACAGAGTGTGAGAGAGAAAGTATTTTCCTATATGCATGGACTGAAAGCCTGATATATTAAATTATATAAATTTTTGGTTCCCAAGACATGACACTTCTTGTTTCCAAGGCTCATGGACTAATAAGACATGAACAATTACGATTAAGCCACATTGTATACAGTATCTCTGATAAACTGTCTATTCGGACCCTACAATCCCATTCATACATTGGGTGGTTTGTTTATAGACTCATAAATCTCTTCGGCTCCTCACATTATTTAAACTGGGGAAGTATTTTTAGTGGTAGGAAATGCCTTCGTTCACGGAGCTGAATTTTTCAACCACAATTGTTCAATAGCAACAGCAAACTGCTCTTCTCTAAAACAAAACACTTGTCTGCCCACTATCGCCATAGAGATAACATGTGGGACAGCATCTCTCTCTGAAGCTTCCCACTGTCCTAATTTATATCCAACGTATTTGAATATCTTTGCCTCTTGGCAAATTTCACACATCTTAATAAAGTTATTTTTAAAAGCGCAAGAGTATGGCTGTTTTGCTAGTGATCTTGTGTGGTGTTGTGTTTCAGCACAAGGTTGTGTGTGTGTGAACTCTGGAGTCTAAGGCTGCAATGCTACAGCAGTGTCTGGAGCCTGCAGTGTTGCTGCACTTTAATGTGTATGCCAAGTATCAATCTGAACTTTAAAAGCTTATGTCTGTGACGCTGAGACCATTTCATAGGGTTGTAGTTCAGCACTGCAGATGGTTCCCTAGAAGTTCAGACTAGAACCTGGCATGGATACACCAGTCTCCACTGCAATACTATGCACACTTCCTTTGGAGTGAGCACCACTGGGATTTGCTTCTTGGGATATCACCCATTCAAGGAACGTTACTGTACAAGTCTCCGTGCATCTGCTCAGAAGTAAATTGCGCTTCCAGGGACTTGCTTCCAAGTAATTGGTATAGCATTGCAACACTGCATGCACCTGGAAGCAAGTCTCATCAAACTCGATGGAAAGCAACCTGCTAAATGCAGAGGGGCTTGCATCTGAGCAGAGAATTGTGCTCTTAATCCTTGAGTCTTTTCCTGATTTTATTGATGACATTTTATTGCTTTTATTATTTTATTTGTGAGCCAACTTGTGAAAAATAAAGGGTGGAATACAAACATGTGAATTAGAAAGAAAGAAAGAAAGAAAGAAAGAAAGAAAGAAAGAAAGAAAGAAACTCCTGCTGTGCAGACACCATCTTAGAAAAGCCATTTTTTTTACCAAAAGAAACAGAGTACCAGCACTTCTTTTAAAGGCACTGATTGTAAGCTGCAGCTCTTATAAGTGCTTGTATTAAAAACAAACAAACCATGGTTGGATTCATACTTAGTCACCTATCTTTTATGTTATGAATTAATTTTTAATTCTTATTGCTTTTACCTATTGTATTTTATTGTTTTTATACTTCGTTGAAAACCACCCAGAGAGCGGTAAGTGGGCGGTATGTTGCTACTGTTGCTAGTTGCAAAGTCACATCTGACCCATCGCAACCCCATGGACAACACTCCTCCAGGTCTTCCTGTCCTCCACCATTCCCTGGAGTCCACAAGCTCACACCGACTGCTTCAGTGACTCCAGCTAGCCACATCATTCTCTGTCCTCCTCCTCTTCTTTTGCCATCTATTGTTCCCAGCATTAGACTCTTCTCCAGGGAGTCCTTCCTTCTCATTAGGTGGCCAAAGTATTTGAGTTTCATCTTCACTATCTGGCCTTCCAAGGAGCAGTCAGGGTTGATCTCCTCTTGGACTGACTGGTTTGATCACCTTGCGGTCCAAGGGACTCGCAGGAGTCTCCTCCAGCACCACAATTCAAAGGCCTCAATGCATCAGCACTCAGCCTTCCTTATGGTCCAGCTTTCACAGCCATACATTGCAACTGGGAAAACCATAGCCTTGACTATACGCACTTTTTTTCAGCACGGTGATGTCTCTGCTTTTTAGCATGCTGCCTAGATTTCCCATAGCTCTCCTCCCAAGGAGCAAGCATCTTTTAATTTTGTGGCTACAGTCACTGTCTACAGTGATCTTGGAGCCCAAGAAAATAAAATCTGTCACTACTCCATTTCTTCCGCATCTATTTGCCAGGAAGTGAGAGGACCGGATGCCATGATCTTAGTTTTCTTGATGTTGATTTTCAAGCCAACTTTTCTATTCTCTTCTTTTACCTGCATCAGGAGGCTCTTTAGTTCCTCTTCACTTTCTGCCATTAGAGTGGTATCGTCTGCATATCTGAGGTTGTTGATATTTCTCCCAGCAATCTTAATTCCAACTTGTGATTCGTCTAGCCCAGCCTTTCATATGATGAACTCCCTAGCTTTCTCCATGATCCAGTGTATGTTGGCAATTTGATCTCTAGTTCCTCTCCCTCTTCGAAATCCTGCCTGTACTTCTGGTAGTTCTCGGTCCACATACTGTTGGAGCCTAGCTTGTAGAATTTTGAGCATAACTTTGCTAGTATGTGAAATGAGTACAATGGTGCGTTAGTTTGAACAATCTTTGGCATTGCCCTTCTTTGGAATTGTAATGTAAACTGACCTTTTCCAATCCTGTGGCCACTGTTGAGTTTTCCAAATGTGCTGGGTTATTGAGTGTAGCACTTTTACTGCAACATCTTTTAGGATTTTGAATAGCTCAGCTGGAATACTATTGCCTCCACTAGCTTTGTTGTTGCTTAGACTTCCTAAGGCCCATTTGACTTCACATTCCAGGATGTCTGGATCAAGGTCAGCAACCACCCCATCATGGTTATCAGGGACGTTAAGCTCTTTCTTGTATAGTTCTTCTGTGCAATCTTGCCACCTCTTCGTAATCTCCTCTGCCTCTGTTAGGTCCCTGCCATTTTGGTCCTTTATCATGCCCATCTTTTCATGAAATGTTCTCTTCATATCTCCAATTTTCTTGAAGAGATCTCTGATCTTCCCTACTCTATTGTTTGCTTCTATTTCTTTACACTGTTCATTTAAGAAGGCCTTCTTATCTCTTCTAGCTATTCGCTGGAGTTCTGCATTCAATCAGGTGTATCTTTCCCTTTCTCCCTTGCCTTGCGCTTCCCTTCTTTCCTCAGCTATTTGTAAAGCTTCCTCAGACAGCCATTTTGCTTTCTTGCATTTCTTTTTATTTGGGATGGTTTTAGTTGCTACCTCTTGTACAATGTTGTGAACTTCTGTCCATAGTTCTTCAGGCACTCTGTCTATCAGATCTAATTCCTTAAATCTATTTGTCACCTCTACTGTATATGATTTCGATCATATGATTTACATCATATGGGTGGTATAGAAATAAATAAATCCAGCTAACCTATTGTAATCAGTGGTGGCTACATTAAGCATAGCTAAATCGACTCCCACTGATTTCATTGGCTGAAACGGAGGTGCTGTTGGATGGCTTTAGACTCTGCTCTCAAGAGACGTCGGGAGTCTCGATGTGACCAGCGACTGTTTCAAGCTCTCCCTTGCACTTTTTTATTGAACAGGCATCCCCTCAAAGTCCAGCCCTGCATCCCTGAGCCACAGATTTTGAAATATTGAGTAGTTGCTTCCCAATTCGTTGAGGCTGTAAGAAGCGCCGTTAATTTCATTGATGATATACTGCAAGCCTCTTACTTTTGAACAGGTTCAGGCTTGTAATTCATCCGCTTGCACGTGAATGACTACATGGAGTCCTTCTTCCGGGTGGTTTACTCCAGATTATTACTACTACTGAGGGCCACTCTTGCTGGGGAGATTTCCCTTACTGGGAGGAGGCCTCCTTCGGAGAGGGCAGGCGCTGCCCAAAGTGTCCTGCGCCCGCTGCGCGGGCAGGGCGCCCGCTTGCGCCGTTCCTCCCCCAGGAAGCAGAGGCGGGCGGCCGGGGCCCGCCGCAGCTCCTCGTCGCCCTCCCTTCGCGCTGGGCGGCGGCTGGGCCGGGTTCCTCCAGGGAGAGGCGCAGGGCGGCGGCGGCGGCGGCGGCGCTGGAGGCGAGCGTGGACCGGCTGCGCCGCGACGAGCCGGGTCCCGGTGCTGGCGGGGGGCGCCGGCCCCGTGGGGCTGAGGGCCGCGCGGGTCGCTGTCCGCTCGGGCGAGGTGCTGAGCCGGACGCTGCTGGACAAGCGCTCGCGCGCCCGCTCCTCCGCCGCCCGCAGCAGATCGCGCCGGACCCGCGCAGCGTCCGCTTCCTGCTGCGGCCGGGGGTGGACTTCGGCAACATGGAGGGCTGCCGGGGCAGCAAGCACCTCTTCACCAGGATCGGGGTCTTTCAGGAGCACCTGCTCAACATCCTGGAGCGGCACAAGCGGAGCCTGGATGTCCGCATCTTTCTGGGCACCAAGGTGGGTCAGTGGCAGATTTCAGCGCTTTCCCCCGAGCAGCCACAGTATCGGGTATCTCTCACTCCTGCAACAGCAGTGAAGGAGGAGGTTCCTTTGAGCATGTGCAGATTGCCGTAGGAATCAAAGCAGCACTTACAGGTGCAATCCTATGCAAGTTTAGGGAGGCAAGAGCAATCCTGTCTGGGCAATGCTGGGAGGTTTAGAACCTTTTTCTGTCCACACCTGCATAAGATTGAGCCCTGAAATGCATCCCAAGGACTTCACAATGGCTGCCTTAAT